TGATAGTATTTCACTAAGGTGGGTTCAAAGCCAGAAGCTACATTTTTCTAATGTGATATCTTTTCAGTTGTCTCTCTACTAGTGTGTCTTCATTAGCATTTGCTTGGTTAAGTAAAGATAATAAAAGTTAATTTTGTATCAACTTTTGTTTGTATTTCAAGTAAGTGTTACTTTGATTTATTATTTGCTTTAGTTCAATTATAATTTGAAAACGAACACACAATACCCAACAAGAAATCAAATTATTTCCTCAAACAAGTCGGTATCCCCGTGGAAGATGCAATTTGAAAAAATAAGTTTGTTGTGAATTTGAAAAATGTGCATGTGTTAAGCATAGGATGAAAAATGAATCTCGCTGCACTTGATGGTCGTATTGACATAGCTTCAATAAATAAGTTTGTCCCGTGTATGTGTTAAACTACAACAGAAACTCACTCACTGTTCTCGTAGCAATTAATGGGCATATGGTATGGTCACTAAATGAGATTAAACAACTATAATGTAATGAATAAGAAAATCTATTTTAGCCCCCTATTTAATAACGATTATTCTACATACTCATTTTCAACCACACATCCACACAATAAAATATTCTGCACAAAAATTCAAAAATTTTCGCTATTTTTTAACCACACATTCTCCTAAAAAATACTATTCAAAACTTTGTTTTCCCCAATTAATGGTTGTCAAAAAGGGGCCTAGTGTCTCGTCCGATTTATTAGTTCATACGATCAAGTACACGATAGAATTCGAAATCCATGAAATGAACTCACCTTCTTCTTGACTGGGCAAGTTGGGGCAAAAGAGCACTTATAGTAGGCTCTAGGAGATGGATTGTCTCTAGTCACCTTTTGTCCATACTTTCTCCAGTGATATCCATCCTTTACAACCTGGTAGTCAAAATCTCGTTACATTTTTATGCTTAAACCATCCAGGGCTTTTGTGACAAAGCTTTTGATTTATGTGTGATTAAAAAGTTGATAAAAAATTATAGATTTTATGAAATATGTGGTTAAAATTGAAGTTTGACCAATTGAGAAATTGATAAAACTTTATCAAACATGCACCTAATTTTGTTCTCAAGAGTTAGCTTTCAGATAAGATGGTTTAACATATTTTCATTGAACCGTATGTTTTCAAACTCAAGAATCAACTTACTGGGCTCATATCAGATGGATCCATGCGTACATAAACCTTTGAAACATTCGAAAAAATTTCGTTTGGTGTCCCATTTGACCCTTCAACACAGCAGCTACAAGTACTGTTTCCATTTTTCTCAACAAAATTGTCATAATTTTCAGTATAAGGGGCCTTTCTCTTTCTTGTTTTCATGAGTTCATCTCCGGAGTACTTTTGCATCAAATCATTGTAATTTCCATATACAATATTTTGTAATTCTTTTAGCTTCTTATTCTCAGATTTCATCTGATTTAACTGCTGGATCAAAAATTGAACAGGCTGCATATAAATTACAGGTTTGCAGTAAGAACTTAGAAGTCGAAGGATACATTAAAAGGAAAACGAGTAACTCGGAAAGCTTTACGCCACTTTAGGCTTTCTATGATGACTGAATATTGTTACCACAAACATTTCATAACGATTAGAAAGTATCGTAGAAACGGATGTCATCATAAGGGTTTTATAAACTGAAAATATTTATGTAATTTCTTTAGCATAAATAGTTTAAGTCCTAGTTTGGCACGTTCTTCTTGAACTAGATGGAGAAAGTAGAAGAAATGAAGAAGAAACAAATTTATATATGAATTTATTTAAGGAAAACTAAATTACAACACAAGGCCGGAAGAGGCAATATTGAACTTTGCTTGTACTTACCTTGTCTTTCATTGATGACTTTCTTTCACCAACAGATTCCTTTTCAAACTCCACATTCTGATAGAAGAACACAAAAAAATAAAATAAAATCAGTAAATAT